CGTTGTTATTAACTATGTCGGATGCACAAGTTTCAACTTTGGCAAATGAGTTTGCATAGTTCGGAAGGTTGAAATCTCCCAGTAATAAAACATTGGACCTTGGAAAACGGTCTAGCATATAACTTACTGAAGTAACGAGGTTATCATAGACTACTGCCTTAGAGGATGGAGGTATGTAGATAGCCGCCAAAAGGTTGTTGATGTTCCCGCACCGTAAGCTGACCCAGACTTGTTCTACTTCATTGTCTGGCACTGTGCAGGTTGATGATTCAAAGGAACGTTCTACTGCGATAATAACTCCACCACCTCTTGACTTTTTTGTTTGTTCTGGGTTTCTATCTCTTCTATACACAACATAGTTTGGAGGAAATAATTCTTCACTAGTGATTCCTTCATTCAGCCACGTCTCCGTCAGTACAATAACGTCATGATTACAATTTATCACCTCCTGCTGGAATGCCACTGTCTTGGATCTCAGTCCACGGACGTTCTGATATGAGACTGTGATCTGTTTATTATGTGAGACTGCGCCGATACAATTATTTGTTTGAGGGGACGTGACGGTAGCATTTGGTTCTGGGTCACCTAACGTAGGGTAAGCAAGTGATTGCCTGGAGGAAAATTTTGAGGGGCCAGCAATTCGTTGCAGATAAACTTGATTATTCTCCGTTTGATATCATAGTGTAGGGAGCCGTTGTAACTACGTTCATAGGTGGACATGAAGCTGTCACAGGATATTTGAGAACAATCTATACATCTCTGCTGCAGTTGTTTTTTTATGCCCAAGTTAAAATCATAAATAAAGTTGTTGAGAACTTTCCTATTATCACAGTATGGAGGAGTGACTATTATCAGATTAGTTCTTTTGGATATATCAGCGATTTTGTCCCAGCAGGAGTCATTGATGGTGACATTCCCCTGCAAAGCATTAGCCAACCCAGCAAAGAGGATGACAAAATCCTTTTTCGAGAAGTTCTTGCATAATGGACTGAATTGTTCGACGAGTGTTTGCACTGGTACGTTTGAGTCAGAGTACTGAAAATTCATGTCGTATCTGCTCTGAGTAAAAGATTTGGCCATCAGCCCAGATCCACTCACACAAGACTTATTACCAAACAGTAGAATCTGATGTTTGGGTATTTTGGATTCAGTAGGTTTTGAGTTGTTCAGGATGGAAGTTGGTGATGGGTCTGGAATAAATCTATCGATGCCGATACACAACTCGTTCTTTAGCTTCCTGATTTCCTCCATGTAGAGATTATTCTGCACTGTCAGGGTCTCTATTGAAGTCAGGAGGTTTTTATTTAAGATAGTGAGGTCGTTTATCTCATTTGTGGCTTTAGTGAGTTCGTTTTGACATGTTATCAATTCCTCTCCAGTGACATATTCCTGTATACTTGTTCCGGGTGATTGTTCCGAGCAGTTTATTTGGTTGCTAATGGTTTCTCTATTGTTTGAAACCTGAAGAAGAATAAGGTCTTTGGCTTTTATCTCATTTTGTAACTCTAAAAGTTGATTTTTCAAGTCATTGCCTTCTGAAGTCAGTTCGACGTTCAATCTTTTTATCTCGTTGTCCTTCTCTAAATTTGCCTTTGCCAGTTGACCCATAGCATTTTCTAGCTCCGCGACCTTTTCTTCACATTTCCGTTCAAAATCTTCAAAATATCGATCTTTGTTCTTAATGTCTACTTTGAGTTTATTGTACTGTACAATCAATTCTCCCAGTTTAGGCAGGTCTGTTAGATTTTGTCTGCAATCTATGCAGTAAAACAGTAAGATTCGTTTTTGCGTGAGGGCCACTGAGTGAGCTTCAGTAGTACTAAGGTCTGAGCATTTTCTGCACCATACAACTTTGCAGGAGTCACAAGGTGCACCGAAAGTTTCATCGTCTTTGGGTCTTGGCTTGAAGATGCAGGGGTGTTTGCAATTCTTACATTCCAATAGAGGCATGGCAAGAACAAACTCTATGTTGTCAGCTCTCCTACTCAATTCAGAGAGCAAAAGTTTGTGTGATCATTTGCTAAATTAGAATTAAATTTAAATTCAATTTCAAATTTAGAATTTTGAGTCCGTTCCTATTTAGACATCGATGGAACAGTGTTTATGTTTATTTACTGCAGCTCGAGATGTTTATAATTGGAATATGCAAATTTTATTAGCGATAAGGCTCGGGTATATTACCTTTTTTTTTTTTATATCCTTTTTCTTTTGTAGGCTGTAGAAATCCGTCTATTTGTTTAGATATGCCTTGCAAATATTGTGTTTTTCTCGAGAAAAACTATGTTTCATTGCAGTTTTCTTACACTGTGAGAGAGATCACGTTTTAACTCACAACTCAATACCAAACACAAAAATAAACAACAATTTAAAACTTGAGAAAAACGAACAAATTACGGAGTGCAATGAAACGCGTCCGTGTCACTTCCAATATACCAAAGACTATGAACTGTGTAACTTGAGAAATCTAAACTATCATCACCCATAAATACAATGTTATTATTATGCAACAAAATACTCGTGCGGTGCGAGTCAACATAGATATATTTAATACAAATATTGAAGAGTTACAGATGATTTGTCAATCATACTTGTGTTTGTGAATGTATGTTTTTTGGTTTATGTTAGGTTTAGTCTAGTGTAGTAATTTGTTAGTTGTAGTTATTCTCTACCATTACTTGTATTGTTTGCCCAGCGGATCTGAGTCTACGGAAGGAATTTGGACGTAAATGTGCCATGTTGTCACATTTAATTATAAAAAAGCGAAAATACTAGGCATGTAGTAAAGTTCATTTGAAAATCCATTTTTTAATAACAAAATATAGATACCAATAAAACGATAAATATTTCAACGTGGTTGTTAGATCTATTCTTATTCTAATAACTGATTTCTTTAATTTTATCCATTGTAAAAAATGATAAATTTTCTAAAGATACCATTAGTTTTTGACAATTTGGCAAGCATCCGGCCTGGATGAACCTGATTGGTGGAGCTTTTGGCAGGATGGCCGTTGCCACTGTGAATCATGCCGTTGTCAATAAGCTAACGTCACCTTACGTCTCGCTATTGGCCAAGGCTTCCGTCATTTTATCCTCCCATCATGGAATATTGATTTATATTGAAATATCCAGTGGCGGGGGTTTGGTAATTGGCGGTTTTCGTGTAGGAGTTGCAATACGATAACACTTCCAAAAAATTCCGCACGCAGCTGGGTATTTTATGAATGAAATCAGCCATTTTTTTTACAACTGCATTCCCCTTACCGTTGCCCCGTAGACACAGAGTCGCTGGGCAGACATTAGTTACCACATTCTGGTGTTTGTAATGAGAACCATAAATGAATAAATAAAGTGTGAGATAAAGAGTAGGTATCTGCATTGTTCCAACACCACATTTGGTATTCCATCAGGCCCTATCATTAACTTATTTGGTAGAGACAGCAAATAAGTCCATAATCTCCTCGCCTTTGTAGCAATAGATGTATCAAGAACCATACTTTTAGGAATATCATCTGATGCACGTTTTTTATTGATAAATCAGAAATTCCTCGGATTACTAGTAAATCTGCATTTATGGAGGCCAGAACGTTTTTGTAACATTCTTTACTTAGACTCTCACACCTTGCTCTGAGTTCGCTTAATTCAAAGTAATTCCTTACATTGCCAGTTACTTGATATTTTTTGTTTGCCCTTTTTGAGTAAAATCAATCTTCTTACCTCACTGGAAAAATAAAATGGAACGGTTGACGTCGTGAATCTTTTGTATGGTATGAAACACTGAATTCCTCGCTGAATTCCATAATTTGAAAATCTATAAAATTCTATTAAAACAGTCTCAATATTGTGATTATCAAAAAGTAATAAGTAATATATTGAAAATAAATAATCATTTAAACTCTGATTATTACCATTTTGAAATCAAAATGAAAATCCTCAACTTTAAGAAGATCAGATTTAACATTCTTTAATTTAAAGCTACATGAATATGATGTTTGATGGTAAGAGTCACCAAACACTGGATCAGATGACTTTGCATCTCAGCCAAAACAATACAATTTCTAAAGCAATTTGTATTAGACAATTTCAGATAAGTCATATCTCGGAAATTACAATATCACCACATTTGTGAACTTGGCATTTATAGTTAAGTTTTTAAGTTGTACCACTTGTACCTAACTCTAAGTTTCACGATGATTAAGACTTGAAAGTTTTCTGTCCCGATTTCGCTCCGCTAACTTTAGGGAAGCTATTGCAACAATGTGAATGAATAGGAGCAATTATTTTTCCAATTAAGAATTTTGAATCAAGTTATGGCGTGGTACTTAGGGACAGGAAATTCTGTAGTTATTGCATTAGAAAATGGATAGCTTATTGAATTATTATTATAATTATTGTGTTACGTAAAAGTTATTTATATATACACATTGGTATGGTAAGTACCTTATATGCACAAATATTTTTCGATATTAAAAAGTTCAGTTAATATTATCAGGCATCGTAATGTACAAAGTTTTGTGCTGTGTTCTCTAAATAAAGATCAACATAGTTTTCAACAACACTGCGCACACTGTACTTTCCTCAAGTGAGTTCCATATTCCACAATCCGATTGATGAGGAAGTTCTTTCTTGGAAATGTAGCTGATTGTTCTTTGCTTAATTTTATTAAGTGTCCGCACAGCTGCTGATTCTGATTAAAACGACAAACTCACCAAGCCACAAGAATAATAGTATGTCAGAATCTTTGAAAATCACACCTCCAGCCCAAATCTTTCCAGTCTTTCAGTACAAGGTAGTCCTCTCAATTCAAATTATGTTAATCCGCCTTCGGACCTTTTCCAAAATTTCAATATTTTTGATGTAGTAGGGGTTCCAAACATACTATATTCGTGCTCGATTTTCGGTGTGATATAGGAGGCGTACAACTTTCTCATGATCTGAAAAAAGTTAACAGTTGTAAACATCAGCTGAAGCCTCATTTCTGACTATGTATTTTATTTTTACAGAGTTAGACCAACTACAGACCTCAGCACCATACAGCAACAAAGAAAAGGCCTACCTCACGTCATATATTGCAAACTATGGAGATGGCCCGAACTACAATCACATCACGAATTAAGAGCTCTCGATCATTGCGAATATGCTTATTCACTAAAAAAAGATGAAGTTTGCGTCAATCCTTATCACTATACAAGAATAGAAAGCCCCGCTCTACCAGCCATCCTGGTCCCAAGACAAACTTGCGATGAAAACAACATATTTCCTCATTCCTTGGAAGATTTGAGCACATCTGTTCCAGAAAATACCTCTTTCCCACATAATACAAATTCTTTAGGGTAAGTTTTACAGAATAAATGCTTTCCATAATACTGATCCAAAAACATTTCAATGCAGTATTATGCAACATAATGGAGGATACATGGACTCAGTAGGTATCATCCCAAATGGTACTTCCACTGGCATGGAATCCCCCTTGAGCACAGTACCGCCCACAGAAACTCCACCGCCTGGTTATATGTCTGAAGATGGGGATCCAATGGACCCTAATGACAACATGAGTTTGTCGAGGCTCACACCGAGTCCGCCAGTTGACGCACAACCTGTTATGTATTGTGAACCGGCTTTTTGGTGCAGTATAAGTTATTATGAACTCAATACGCGAGTCGGTGAAACTTTTCATGCCAGCCAACCCTCCATTACTGTGGATGGGTTTACAGATCCAAGTAATTCAGAAAGGTAAGGAGTTTGATATTTTTGAAATTTAGACGTTAGGGTTTGTTTATAAATTAATATTATATTTAAATATTTTTTCTTGGGTGTTTCTTGGTTCTTGTTAAGCAATCTTTGATTGTTTTTTTTTTTGAAGACCCGTTACCAGCCCGACTTCTATAAATACAAATAGAAATCGATTTATATCGATCCTATATTTCAGGTTTTGCTTGGGTCTATTATCAAACGTAAACAGAAATACAGTTGTGGAACAAACAAGACGACACATAGGCAAAGGCGTCCGTTTGTATTATATAGGAGGCGAGGTATTTGCCGAATGCTTAAGTGACTCCAGCATTTTCGTACAGTCTCCGAATTGTAACCAAAGATACGGGTGGCATCCGGCGACAGTGTGTAAAATACCTCCCGGGTGCAATTTGAAAATCTTCAATAATCAAGAATTTGCAGCTTTACTGTCACAATCTGTCAGTCAGGGATTCGAGGCCGTGTTTCAACTAACTAGAATGTGTACAATCAGGATGTCGTTTGTGAAAGGTTGGGGTGCTGAATACAGGTATGATGATTTTGCACTTAACAATGTCTTTTTACATGATTATTATAATGTTTAGGCGTCAAACTGTTACATCCACACCCTGCTGGATTGAACTTCACCTAAATGGGCCTCTACAGTGGCTAGACAGGGTGCTAACCCAAATGGGATCGCCTAGATTGCCCTGCAGTTCAATGTCCTAAGTTCAAAAACAATTTGTGTGTGAGTGTGTCTTGATTCTTGATAAAAAGGTAACAATCTTGATTTTTGTTAAACATTTATGAATGGGGCACTAAGAGAAGGCAAAACATATCTAAAAGCAAGAGTTGGAGTTTGACAAAAATTATTTCAAGATTGTTTATTTTAGGCTCTTGGTATGAAGAATATTTCTTGCCAAATCAGGTAAACTTTTTGTGCTCTGTAAATGTGAAAGCCTTATTCGACTTTCTGCCTCTAATTCTCGTTGAGGGCTTGAATGTTTGGTTGACAATATTGACATTTAATCCTTGTACATTTCTTTTATGTATTTTTATATTTTAAGCTTCGCTATTCATTTGAAAAGTCTATTCTAGTTAACAGTAACTTATTGGTAACTAAAAGGGAGTTATTTTGCTAGTTAGCGACTCTCAGTTCGTTAGGGTGATATTTCATATTGTCATTATTGTGTGATTGCAATTTTGTAGTTCATTATTGATATAGTATGTTATAAAAATATTTAATTTTTATCTTTGATTGTAATATTATGAGTGTTGTGATTTTTTTTTTTTAAATTTGCAGTTTATTGACATTTTTATATTATAGCTTTATATTCTCATGTTTTATGCAGTATTTTTTACAGGATCATAGAATTTAGATTGTTGCTACTAGGAATATATTTAAATTATTTTTTAAAAGACTTTGATATTCTAGAAACACTAGCAAAGACAAAATTTATTTATTTTTTCTAAAGCTTTTTGTTATTGTTCTTAGTAGTAACAATTCGTTGTTAATTAATTGTTTGCAGCTTTTTTCCTGTGTGTTGTTTGTTGAAATTGTTTTATACAAAATCATATTAAGTATGTGAAAAAAATTGTACAAATATAAAAGTACATGATTGGCACAAAGGAAAGTCACGACATGATTGGAAATACTATAATAAATTATTATAAGAATAGTGATAAAGTATTTTTTTTTGCTTGAAAAACAAATATATTTGTTCAATTTTTCAGTGTAAATGTAGTTTAGGTGCCCTGATAAATTCAATTTTGAAACATATGGGGCATTATTATTACTATTATTGTATAAACTTTGGTCACTTTTATGTGGCATCTTGTCCTCCTTGGAAATTTGACAGAAGCTCTGTTCCAACCGATGTGAGAACCGTTCTAGAACGATATAACAGAAATTGATTATCGAAGTTGATTTTCTTCAACATTTTCGAAGAAGCTTTATTATCCAATTTCCAAGGGGCACAGGATGTCAAATGAAAATGAATCAGCATAAATATGTAAAAGTGGTTTGTCAATAAAAATTTTAATTTACTATGGTGAACCTGGTATTTCTGCTATTTCTACATTGATTACTTCTGAAAACTGAACAAATTCTATTTTCTTTACCTAATACTTTCAGTACTCAATGTAGTGATTTTGTATTATTTGGTGCTCTAAAAAAATATAAAAATTTTATTGGCAATACTTATTTTTCAATTAGTGTATAGAAGTAGCACTAAACAAAGCAACTACCAAACTATGTGTATTTTACTTTTTTTTTAAGTATAAATATATAGCCATTGATTTATCAAATCTAAAAGGTGTGTTATTGCCAGTTCTCACTAAAATCTTAGGGACCGAACAGCGGCAGAATTTTTCTAATGACTCGATTTTCACAAAACTTTCTTTGGGGCAGCTAAGGGCTGACCTGAAAACTGTTCAAGAATGCTCGGAAGAATGGTCTACAGATTAGGGAATGAAGTTGAATCAGTCCAAATGTACAGTCTTAAGAGTGAAATCAAATCAAATAAAAATAAGCTTTTTTGTATCTTATAAGGCAATAGTCTCGTTGACAAAGCATATACATTATAAACAAAATCATCAATAATCGAAATTAACAGTTAATGGTGAATAGAGCTGTAAACCCAATAAAAATCTGCCAAACTCTTGTTTTAAATTGTATCATTGTAGGAAGCATCTTCACCTCATTAGGTAAGTAATTGTATATTTTGATATTTTCATATATAACCGATTTTTTGGATAAAGTCGATGCAGGAATGGGCAATGGCAAATTGAGATACTGGCATGTATTGTACTGTGAACTGCGAGGTGAAAAGTTCTGACGGTTTTTGTAGACAATACACACGGTTTCCAACAAACAGACATTACAGAGTCAGGATTCGTTGGTTCAAGAATAAAGGTTTGCACGAATCTATCAGCCTTGCATGACATATAAGTATATATCTTACTACTCGTTTTGTAGAACAAATAATGTATTTAGCAGATGTAAGTTTGACATTCCCCAAAAGCATATACCATATCTAAGACGCGACAAAATTAGTGCGTTATAGATGGTTCGTCCCATTGAGAGGCTTAGTTCATTAACGGTAACTCTGACTGCATAGCACCCTGATGTTATTTTTTTGCCTAGATTAACAATGTGTGACACAAACCTTAGTTCGCTGTCAATAACAAGTCCAAGAAACTTGGTATCAGGGCGAATTTCAAGAGTATCCCGAATAACCAAGTCCCCCAAATCACATTTAAAGCTAATAATATTTGTTTTATCAAAGTTCAGAACCAAAAGGTTGGAGTCACTAAACTTTAATTTTCTCAAGGTCACCAGAAATAGACCTCTTTAAAGTGGCTGAATCGCGACCGTGCCATTAGACAGTTGTGTCATCCGCGAAAAGGGTAAACCTGTCATCAATTTCCAGGCTTGCTAGATCGTTGATGAATAATAGGAATAGAAGAGGACTCCAAACACAAACCTGAGGCACCCCTCAGTCAATACCCTGACTCATCGTACATCTAGACTAGACCCCATGAAAACTCTCTGTTGGCAATCAATCAAATAAGACTTAAACCACAAGATAGCCACACCTCTAAACCCATACTAATAGATCTTACGCAGCAGAATTTTGTGACCGTGACAGTCAAAAGCCTTAGACAAGTCACAAAACTTTGCCGCGGCAGTCCCACTCCCGTTGAGCCGAGAATACAACTCCTCCAGCCTCCAGCACCCTAAACATTGCATCCTCACCTCAGTGCTCCGTTTTTTCTGAAAGCCAATCTGATTACTATTTAAAATAATATTTCCAACTATAAATGATTTCACTCTGGTTTTCACTAATTTCTCAATAATTTTATGATATCGTTGTTACAAATAATTTTACTTATTTGTAATTTAGAGCAAGAGAACCTATAGGGTCGTGGAATTCAAAAATAAATAATAAAACGTGTAGCCCTTTATGTGCAAATGAAACCACTCAAATTTCAACAGGCAATAATTTTATTTAGTGGATATTAACAATGTAACTATTAAATTTATTTTGAAGTAATTATGAACATTTAGTTCGACATTTAGTTTTTCTGGTGAATCTGATACAGTATGTACCTTTCCAATCCAGAGCTCCTCAATGGATGTTGGGGTTTCACTTCAAAAAAAAAAAAAATATGTAAAATAAAGAAGCAATAATTAAGTAGGTAGGTGAGTGAGTACAGCAAGATTAAAAATAGATGCTCGTTAACATTGAGCAGAATGCTGCTTCTCGGGCAGTCGCGCTAAGCAGGCAAATTTTTTTAGAAAAAATATACCTATAGGCAAAATCAAACAAGATAAAAAAAATTAAATAAACCTCTAGATTTTCCCCAAATAGATAAATTTTTAAGTTAAGGTACCTTATTGGTATTACAAAATAAAGCTATGAGGGTGAAATAAATTAAATCTAAGGAACTGTCAAAATTCTTGAGGTGTGTTAATTAAAACTTTTCAAATGAATTTCTGACCTATCCGGATTCCTATCTTAAAACTTGACCCTTTCAGCACTTTCCTTCTTGAGAAGACAATGAGTAGGGAGTCAAACAATAAATACAGGCTTCTGCCTGGATTCGGCAAAGTGTTGATAGGGATGGACACACGAATTCGGTTTACACCCAAGGTTGTTTGAGAGAAGTAGGTTGCCTGATAACTTTATGACGTCATCTGGGGTGCCTCAACATAATGCAAATCTCCATAAGGCACCCCAGATGCGTCATCAAGTTACCCATTACCTACCAGGGCTGGGACTCTGTATCGAATAGAGATAGTTTCTCTATCTCTGTTGACGTCCCCTCTGGTGATTTCGAGAAGAGAGGAGAAGACAGCAAGTGCCATAGCGGTAGGGATAACGATCTCTATCCGTTACAGAGTCCCAGCCCAGACAACCTATTAACTTTAGGAACTTTGGTTAACACCGCTCTATTTAGAGGAAATGGTCCAATAATCCCACACTAACAATTAATTCCGAAAACCAAAGCAGCAATACCTATTTATTTACCAAAACTTTGAATTGACTCTTCTCAGAAAAATGTGGTACCACACAAAATGGAGGTTCACAATAGATAAAAAATTAAAATATAATATTTATATTTTAAAGGTAGAAAGATATCAGGTAATAGAAACCCAACAGTGATAGTAGACACTGATGGTGAAATAAATTGAAAAATATTAAGGGAAAATCTAGAAATCTTAAACAATAAAAATTACAAAAACGAAAACCGACTTGCCTGTTTAACGGTCTGCCAGAGAAGAGGCCTTTTTAGAACCCAATTCTCTTAAAGAAAACCAGTCTTGTGTTTTTTATACTTAACTGCGTAGTAACCAAGGTAGTAACCATTGAATCAATCAGAAGATATCACTCAAACACACACAAAAGATACTGATTCACTTCATTAATGAAACACCACGCTGTGATTTAAATTCAGGTTATGTTAGAACCACAAAACCATTAATTAATTAGTTGAGAATAATCATTTTAGAATCAGAAGTTAGAGAAAGACAGAATAGCTATTTACCTAACAAGTGCGGAAAAATATTTTCCGCAAGTGTTAAGTACAATATTTTTCCTACAGGCGTAAAAATGTAAAATTTTTCTTTTTTTTTTTGACATATCAGTGCGGTAAAATTTTTTCCGCACTGACAGCCGTACGGAAAAACTTTTTCCGCACTGATATGTCAAAAAAAAAGTTTTACCGCACCGTGCGGATCAGTGCGGAAAATCGACTTTTCCGCACGGCTGTAGGAAAATACATTTATTTGTTGAAAGCAGGATAAACATACTTTCTCCAATGAAAAATAGTTAAAGAAACCTACCACAATTTTAAAATAAATTTATTAGGTAGTAGATGTCGGTAGTTTCTTAGTACTTTTACAGTGAGTACTTTTATTAGTAACAGATATTTGCATTTATTATACTAATTATATCATGGACAGTCTGGGGCCTGTTTCATAAAAAATATTAGTCTAATAATATTACTCTTTAGCAAGTATTATAAGTCAAAATTACATTATCAATATCATAATTTTGACTTATAATATTGGCTAAAGAGTAATATTATTAGACTAATATTTTTTATGAAACAAGCCCCTGGGACAGAGATAGCAATACTGATATTATTTTGACATAATTAAATTTGGTAGATACTTTTTAAATTACTTGAGTTATTAATTTTATTATTTTGCTGAATCTGAAATGGCAAAAATACTTTATAATGAAAATTAAAAGAGATGGAACATGTTACGAAAATGATAAATTTATCGTAACAGGGTGGACAACAAAGAAATAGGGCGAGTTTTTATTCCCGATGCAAAAAGTTTTTTGGCTATGGTGCAATAAAAAGTATTAATTGCGTCTGGGGATAGGTGGTTTGGCGAAATTGACTACTTTGGTGAAAGTTATTTACTACCAACGAACTTTCCTTTTGCTTATTTGGCGTTCTCCGCATTAGATCAGTATAATAGGTCTATTTTTGCTTCCTTCAATAGTTTTCTGTAAAGTGCTCTTTATCTACTGAAGTACCTAACTATAAAAATTCTGGTTTTCAGTATACTTTTTTATCATATGCAAAGAGCGCAGGTTAGCTGACGATGTTTTCAGGCCTTCCGTAAACCACGATCTCCTATTTATTTTCCTATTTTTTGAAAGGGAAAGGATCTATTAAATACACTTATGACGGGCATTATAAAACTACTTTGATAGTTAACTTAAAGTTAACTCCTTCCTCATTATGTAATTCCAGAAGTTAATTTTGTGTTAACTGTCAAAGTAGTTTTATAATACCCGCCCTTAACAATATTTCATAATAGGGCTAAAAATCCTACCATACCTATATCTAAGAGCAGACTGCACTCTACACTTCAAAAAATCACATATCTGCATTAATCTGATAAACCAGCTTCAACGACAGAACAATCAACACTAGTATAATCAAAATTAGAATAAACATAGGTAATCAATCAATGCAGAAGAGTACTGCGTGACTCGTGTTAGGGATCTTACATGATCTGGCAAATTTTGGGATTGCAACAGATTATGTAATCTCATGGTAGACGCACTATTTACATCCAGAAAATTTATATTAAAATGGTCCGATACAATTACAGAAGCAGAAACAGATAACACAGATCTAGATAATACAGAAAGCAATGAGTCCAAACCATGGAAAAAATAATTTACGTTGGATAATGGTGTAATACCGTTGTAATACCCTTCCCAAACTATTGTGCCAACTATTAAGGGATGATAGATCTCGCCAAAATAAAAAATTTTTACTTATAAACCCATAGGAGCATGCGCTTTTGTGAGGCGATAATAGCACATTACAGGCCGCGCTGTGAGCC